CAAACGTGCCAGCTTCACCGTCGACTATTCAAATGACATTTCCTGAAACAGGTTGTGCACACGGAACGCGCCTACCCGACCTGAGACTGTGCCAACCTGCCCGGCCCTACCTACTTATAGTTGGCAGGCACACCAGAGTATACTACCTACTTAACTCCTCCTATATTTAAAAAATGGCAAAAATCAAGCATTCCAACACACTTCTTAACTCCTCCTATATTTAAAAAATGGCAAAAATCAAGCATTCCAACACACCACACTCCACGGTTCTCACACATACCACCCGGGCGCAAAGATCCTACACTACAGTAAGCGTCCCGGGACGCCCCCGACACCCAAGTTTGGCTACATGCACACTCTAACTTTACGTACCATTTCCTGAAATCGGCTGACGACGGCTAGAGACCCTTGCGTAACGCGCGATATTAATCATTCGGCAAATGCGAATATGTTAAGGAGCATAATGTCGTTAAGACACGTGGTACGAGAAATAATAACATTATCGTCAATTGATAGCAAGATTGCTATTTCCATCGCGTTTATGCTATGAATAATCTGCTACAATTGATAGCAGATTACATTTTTCTATTCCAAATAAATATACGAACGACGCAATTCCACATCCTAATCACAGACACACCATGTGGAAAATACGTCGTGCACGATACTCTAACGCGTCGTCAGCCGCTAAGACATTGTTATAAACTTAAGAAACTACGGTCATCATGCCCATCGCCATTCACCCACTCAAGTAGCACCTGAGCACGTGAATAAGTTCCTGGCAATGAACACGGAAGGGGTTAAACCTGAAAATCCTGAGCTAGAAAAGTAATTAGCGTATACATATTTTATTTAACGGACTAACGTTCCTTCACCTTGTATTTTCTCATTCCATTTGCAATGGCTTTACTTTTCAAATAAAAAAATTTATAGAAATTTCAGTATTGGAAGGAAATATTCATAATCAATAAGAAATCTATTTATCAAAAGAAAAGGAAGTATAGGACTCGACGTGATGAAATAATTAACTTTAATTTATATAACAATGGAAATGTAATAAAACCTCAGATGATTCTTTCACCAAAGTACATCATATTCGAAAGGGCAAAAGTACAAAAGTTATTACTTTGGTTCTAAAATCTATCTGTCGCGAAATGTTTTCTTGCACGTAATGTCCAAAGCATTTTAGCATTTACCAAATGTAACAATGATACTATTATCTTTTAAATTCGACTCAGATTTATTGTATGCGAGTCAAAGAATTAAATATCTCAATATGATCAAAATACAAAGAATGGCATTAGCACTTGTTTATTAAAGGAACAATGAATAGCAATACATAATCATTGTTCCAATATATTAATTATAATTTTCATAATAACGAAGTCGAAGGGCATTCGATTTCTCCACTACAAAATAATCAAATATTCATGTCTATTATTTAGAAATAACCATACTAAGTGTGCTTTGATTTTGAAAGTGACTATAGTAAGCAGGAACTAATAGTCAATATTATATTATTTATGCCACTAATGTTATATGTGCCAATATATCCATACCAACTATTCAAATTTTTGTTATCATTATTCAGAAACGCGACGTGCAAGAAAACCTATCCTAAGTTGATAAATGAAACACAAAATAAATTTTGTCGCTACTCTCGAGTATAATAAATACCCGAGGTCATTATGCTCATAACAAATTCTACGTAATACAACCAGTCATCCGTGTCGATTCGGACCTATCGTCCTACGACATGATTGAATGACCAGAGGAACCGAAATGCATGCGACTCACCAATGATGCGAAGAGCGATGCTGCAATGGCCCCAGAGGAAGTCATGTTGAAGACCGTCATCGGTGGGGGTTGACTTGAATAGTAACACAGTTGTCGGATCCATGGGAAAATGAAGGCTATAGAAAATCTGTAACAAAACATTCAATACTACTGTTATATCGTCAGGGCGCAAATATTTGAAGAGTCCAAATTCATACGATTGATTTAGATATATTCAATAACAATATGCAAACGTACTTACATTGTTGACTTCTGGAGCAAAAATGAATCCTGTCCAGTGAAAAACTGACTTCGATTCCATCAGACTTGTCGGATCTACGGAAAAACATTTAACACGTTGAATAACAAAATTTATTATTTAAAAAAAGAACTTGACTCAATTACAGTCTGGAAACATACTTACATACTTACGTTCTTGGTTTGCAGAGCAGCCTTAGGTCCACTCCTGGTTAAAGTCGACTCTACTACCGGTAACGAACATAAAAAAAAAAAAGAAAAAAAAGAAAAATAAAATGTCATTAACGCGTCCGTTTAAACTTCAATCGGCGAACAAACACTGACTCTACATTCGCGTATGGCTATTATGGTTATATGTAGCAAGAGCTATTGGGCTCTGTGGAAAAAGTTTGATACGTAAAAAGGCACTGACTCGAAATGGTGGCATCGCGCGCGGCCACGAAAATTCCTGAAAGAAATGCATTAATGGGGACTGTGGAATGGCGTGGAGTTATTCTCCCTGTCGAACAAATGTTAAGAAAATACTGCTGTAATCATTATGTTGTTACCATCAATTATTCCTCCTGTTTATCATTCTAGTTTGAAATAAAACACCTATTAGAAATACACACCAATAAATGTAATACATTATTACAATTATAAAGAATTTCTCGATTTTATCAAGCAATTAGAAACGATGTGAATGGAATACAATATAATTTGAAATATAACTGCGCCATCAACCTGCGCAGTCGGGCTGCGCATACCGACCGCGCATTCGGACTGCGCATACCGACCGCGCATACTAACTGCACATACGGATTGCACGATGATATGACGCAATAATTTCCGAACTTACATTTGAAAATTCAACGCAACTGTAATTACGACTCTTTCGTAAAAATAATCAAAATTATTGCTTAAGACAAAATTATCACGATCTTGTAAAATATTCGAAACGGAAATAATGTAATATGTGAATTATTTCGTTTTCTACGTCAAATATAACAAGATTTATTTAATGAATATTTTTCAAAATCTCGAATATGGTCATAATTAAATAATATAAAATGATACATGAAACAAATTACCAATAAAGTGCTTACGTACACTTAATAAATCTGGCTTCGATATAAAAAATTCAGCATTACCATATTTTCACGAAGGATTGGTAAATTTGAAGTCCAGCGAACATGGCGTCCGTACTTCGTTCTCAAACGAGTTCGTTAACGTCTGATGCCTTCTACACCATTCCTACGATCAACCAACATACTGCACACACGGAAATCATAATTTAATACAAATATGTAAATGTATCACTAATTAGATTAAAATGTGAGAATAATCGTATTGAAATTTCGATTCAAAGACGCGATAATATACGTACCAGAAATTGGATCGCACGTCCAGTTGCCGCGACGTTCAAAAGGAGAATGACCCCACTCTATCATGGCGTTGCCTAGCCGTCAGCGGATTGGTCGAGAGATCTAGCTCTTCCCGCCATTTCAAAAGCCCGCGATAGCACGTAGACTTGAACTTCATAGGGGATCTCATCGTAGACGAATCATGCAACTGTATCGTATATAGCGCGGAAACCAGGATAACATACTGAAAAATTTATATTCCGCTATTTAATTGTCGCAAATAATATTGTTTAATAAGTACATAATATAATTAGAAGGATTGTTGCCTTTAACACGAAATAAATTTGTACTTTCAGGGAAATTATGTATTATTAATGTAAAATTATATATTATTAACATATAATTATAAATTATAAAACTATATATTATTAATATATAATTATAAATTATATAATTATATTAATATTGTACAGTAATATTACACGTAATTATATTGAATACTATATAGTAATATTATACATAATTACATTAATATTATACAGTAATATTATACATAATTATATTAATATTATACAGCAATATTATACATAATTATATTAATATTGTACAGTAATATTATACATAATATTATACATTATTTATATATTATTAATTATATATATTAGTTATATACATTAATAATTGTACATTACAATTTCGTTCGTACTACTACTTTTATGAACTTTTTTTATTCACATATAACATTGATCCACTGTAATTAAGTACTAATATTGATAATGATTCCGAATATTTGAAAATCCTAGCAACGAAATAGATTTATTGGTACAATTTATATGATCACTTTGAACGACGTAGAGTTCACAAACCAAATAATGCAAATTGTGAAAGTTACTCGAATCTTTTACCTAAATAATGAAAAATTCAATAAATTGACTTCAAGTTATATGTAAATTATTAACACACCTTTGAAGTGACTTATTTCTATCATTTCAAACTAAGAAATGATTTGATACAAAATTCTCGAAACACGAAGATTTAATTTAATAATTTAACTTCTTTCCAGTTTTATAGAATAGATTCTAAGAAATTATGTAATGTTTGCAAATTTTGTATCAAATATCAATAATGATACATCAAAAATATAATGCAAATCTTTTACGTTTATTGTATGATATTACATTAAGCATTACCAGCTTTCAATGAAAAGCTGTAAAAAGTCGACTATTTGTCAATATGCTGTTCATTCCTTGAATCTTTTATGTTTTGAGGCCATTCCAGTCATCAGAGATTAATCTGTACAGAAGAAACCAAAATATTTTATTCAAATGATCAAAGATAAATTCAGTTATGTTAACAAGAGGTAATAGGCGATCGTAAATTTTGTTACAATATAATCCTAGTACCGAAATACATTAATGTATTACAAGTACTACCAAATGAAGAAATTGACAAAAGATTTTACGAGATTCTTTGATATTTTACAATAAAGAGTAACAATGAAGAAACAATAATCGAATGAAACGAAAGTACAAACGCATATTAAGTCAATTTTCGTAACATAATTAATATTCGCCATCACCAAATTTTTACATAGATTTGGTGAATTTGATTACAAACCATCATGGCGTTTATTGCTCGTCCTCAAATACGATCGTTGGCGTTTCCAATACGTTCTACGTGATCATTTGAGTCAACTAATAATCTGCAAAAACAAAAGTCATAAATTTAGCATGAATGTGTAGAACTATCACAAATTATATTAAAATTGAAGAATAATCGTACTCGAATTTCAATTTAAAAGGTAATATTTCTTTTGTGAAAGCTATTAGTAAAGCCAACAACCAAATGGAAAAATGGAGTTTCAAATAACTTGTAAAATTATTTGATTTTGCCCAAGTTACGTTCAAAAAGTTATTACGTAAACAGATGTTAAAAAGATGAAGTTAGCAATCGTATATAAATGGTGAAAGGACAGAAATGAAAGTACTCCACAATAATAAATGAAAAGAATACCTGAATTCGATCTCACGTCCAGTTTTGCCACGACGTTCAAAAGGAAAATGATCCCACCCTATCATGACGTCGCCTAGCCGTCATCGGATTGGTCGAGAGATCTAGCTCTTCCCGCCATTTCCGAAGCCCACGATAGCACGGGGATTTGAACTTTGTAAAGGTTCTTATGGTTGACGAATCACATGTCTGTGAATAGTGTACAAAGTAAATCAGAATAACATACGGCGAAATTGATATTCGATAATTTAATTCAGGCAAACAAAATTGTCTTGTGGCTGAACGAGGGTAATAATGTTGTACAAATAGTATCAAAATAGCCCTGCAAGTATTACGCAGCACGTATGCAATACACATGACGATATGTCCTCTTACCATGATTTCCAGTGGCACAATGCTACCCAGCACTGTGAGTTAGCAAAACTGTTCCAAACAAAGAACGTCTGGGGGGGTGCAGGCGAGCAGAGAGGCAGCGAATGCTTCTCGGTCAAGGACAAATTTCAAGCAGATTGATATTTTTATACGCAATCTACAGTTTCGTTCGTTGAACTATAGAAGTCAGACGATCATAAGCAACCTCCAATGGCTAGCATTTTGCTGGATTCAATATTCTGTAGCAGGGCCAGAATCGTTTTATGAGCTTATTTCATAGCAAAGTCCAATATTCTGGAAAATATTATCACAGTCAAAGGTGATATATTTGAAACGTAAAAAAGAACTACAAGAATAATTACTTACATATAATTATGAAGTCGAGGAAATGAGATTGATCTTGTGACTGAAAAATAAGTAAAAAAATAGTCAATAACAACATTTTAGATTCAGACAATACTGTGTTCTTGATGTGTATTTATTAATATGTGTTATATGTATTTATATTCCGTTACAAAATGTTAATACGGAAATCGTATTAATCGTAAATAACAGTGAAATAAATTTCTGTTTGGATGCACGTTTGCAAAACGTTTAATTTTTTACTGTTGTACAAAACAAACATCAAACAGAATTTAAACCGCAGCGTTATTTAGAAGACGAACGGTCAAAATTGAGAAAAAAATTATCGGAATAGTTAGAGAAGAGTCTATTCTGTGCAAACAAATCGAAAAATTCTAATCCACAACCGAAACCTGGAATATATAAGCGATAATACGAAACTATGGTAGTACACATTGATAACCACTTGTATTTCTGTCATTATTTTTTCCAAACCAACAATCAAAATCGAAAAGAAACTATCAAACTAATTACAAAAGACACCATTTTAACAAAGTAAATCGAAGAATCAAAATCAAAAATCGAAATTTCAGAGAACTAAGCCACGAAAGGTAACGACGCAGTTCGATCCGTCACGCCCTTTCACTTTCGGCACTGTATTTCGAAAAAGAACGGAGAAAATTGAAAAAAAACACTGATTCTATTAAAGAAAAGTGAGATCTGTCGAGTGATGAAGAAAAATCGAAATCAAAAGTCGAAATTTCAGAGAACTAAGCCACGAAAGATAACGACGCAGTTCGATCCGTCACGCCCTTCCACTTTCGGCACTGTATTTCGAAAAAGAACGGAGAAAATTGAAAAAAAAAAACACTGATTCTATTAAAGAAAAGTGAGATCTGTCGAGTGATGAAGAAAAATCGAAATCAAAAATCGAAATTTCAGAGAACTAAGGCATGAAAGATAATGACGCAATACGACCTGTCACACGTTTCCACTTTCGGCACTGTATTTCGAAAAGAAACGGAGAAAATTGAAAAAAAGACACTAATTCTATTAGAGAAGAGTGAGATCTGTCGAGTGATGAAGAAAAATCAAAATCAAAAATCGAAATTTCAGAGAACTAAGGCATGAAAGATAATGACGCAATACGACCTGTCACACGTTTCCACTTTCGGCACTGTATTTCGAAAAGAAACGGAGAAAATTGAAAAAAAGACACTAATTCTATTAGAGAAGAGTGAGATCTGTCGAGTGATGAAGAAAAATCGAAATCAAAAGTCGAAATTTCAGAGAACTAAGCCACGAAAGGTAACGACGCAGTTCGATCCGTCACGCCCTTCCACTTTCGGCACTGTATTTCGATAAAGAACGGAGAAAATTGAAAAAAAAAACACTGATTCTATTAAAGAAAAGTGAGATCTGTCGAGTGATGAAAAAAAATCGAAATCAAAAGTCGAAATTTCAGAGAACTAAGCCACGAAAGATAACGACGCAGTTCGATCCGTCACACGCTTCCACTTTCGACACTGTATTTCGAAAAAAAACGGAGAAAATGGAAAAAAGAGCACTGAATCTATTAGAGAAGAGTGAGATGTGTCGAGTGATAACAAAAAAACTATATCAAAAATTGTTGGTGTATGAAAACTAAGGCGATAAAAATAAAAGTACTACATAACAAGAAGTCATGATGATATACTCACGTGATATTGCGTCATACGTTCTAAGGATGGCACTTTCAATATTACATTGAAATTTACAGTATCACAGCGTCGTCTAACTGTCAGCGCGGATTGGTCGAAAAAGGTAGCTGCCTCCTCCACTTTTAAAACCCGCGGCAAGTCGAAGATTTGAACTTCGTAAAACTTTCATAGCTGACGCATCACATGTCTGCGAATAGTATATGCAGTAAATCAGAATAACATACGACGAAATTCATATTCGATAATTTAATTTAGGCAAAGAAAATTGTGTTTGTGGTTGAACAAACCTAATAATGTTGTACAAATATACTATCAAAATAGCCGTCGAAGTATTCCATAGCAGGTATGCAATATACATAACGATACGTCCTCACGCCATGATTTCCAGCGACACAATGCTACACAGCTTTGTCCGTTAGCAAAACTGTTCCGGTCAACGTTCGGTTGACGGTGCGTTGTCGTGGAGGGGAGAGAGAGGTAAGGAATGCCTCACAGTCAAGGACAAATTTCAAGCAGATGTTTTTATACACTATTTACGGTTTCGTTCGTCGAACTGTAGAAAGTCAGGGGATCATAAGGAACTTCTAATATCTTGCTTTTTGTTGGATAAAATATTCTGTACAAGGGCCAGAACCGTTTGATGAGTATATTTCATAGCAAATTCCAGTACTCTAGAAAATATTATCACAGTCAAAAATCATATATATGAAACGTGAAAATGTATCACTGGAATATGCACTTACATATATTTATTCGATATGAAGAAATGAAATTTATTGTGGTGATTGAGAAATAACTCATACCAATAACAATATTTTAGATTAAGATAATACGATGTTCTTGATGTGAATGTACTATTAGGTGTTAATGTAAATACATATATACCGACTTCCGTTGTAAAATATTAGTACGGTAATCGTCCCTAACCACGTCCCAACCTCCCTTCCTTTCATGCAAAAATTGACAAACAAATAAATTTGTCTTCTGATGCACGTTTGCAAAACGTTCAATTTTTGATCGCTGTGTAAATCAAACATCAAAAGAATTTAAACAAAAATCCAACGCGGAAGACTAAACCTAGAAATAAAAGATAAATTGAACCTGGAAATAAAAGACAAATTAAATCTGGAAGTAAAAGATAAATTAAACCTAGAAATAAGAGATAAATAAAACCTGGAAACAAAAAACAAATTAAACAACATTGAAGAAATAGGTAAATTATGTCAGATGATATTATCCTACAATTTGTCAATATTGCAGTTTCATTTCCATAATAAATATACCAATCGATAACTAGAAACATAAAAGAAAGCAGGTGATGTTTCGTTCAAACAGCAACACTTCGCATGCATATTGACCTGAAAATATAGAATAGTTGACAATTACATAATTAAAAAGAAAAAGCAAAAAGAAATGCAATATCTCCCAAAGCATTAAATATATTCTACATACTTAGTACTACGAAACACTACTTAATACTACCCACTTCATGCAACACTTCATGCAACTCAAATACTATAAAAATTTACTTAACTTAAAGACTAATGTGCCAACACTAATATTATAGTAACTTATAACTAACTTAATCATAATCCTAACTTGACATAAATGCACATAACCAGAAATTATCATTACTTTCAGAATTGAGTACATATTTTTGAAAAATTAATTCACTTTCTATTCAATATGTAAAGGAAAGGGAAAACCCAACCAACAAAGAAAATTCAGAGATAATAAATATAACGGAAAATAAATGTGTCTTCCAGTTACCGGTAACAAAAAAAACCAAAAAAAAAAATAGTCAGCCCTACTTACATCAAACTTAAAGATACTGGATAATTCTAAACATAGGGAGATCAAGGATATTTTTCACACTATCCTATCAAAAATCAGATGAATTTTTATAAAACCTCTACCTCTCACAAATCTAGAGGGTTTCAACATAACCGGTCTGTCACAAATATAGAGGGATTCCACAGAACTGTCCCATCACAAATATAGAGATAATTTCAAACATCCTATATGCACAAGAAACCAAGGATTTCATCAGAAAAATCTGAGCATTAAAGAGACACTATCCAGAGGTTGAAACCAGTCACACTGTTTCCATTAGCACCATAACGTTTCCTAAACACAACACACTGTACAAAAAATAGTAAAATTATGATAAATAATAAATAAAAAAATGAGGCTCATACATCACTTCACTTTCCATTACGTTATTTCTTTCCATGAATGTTATTTCACTTCTGAACCTCTGACATACTCACATAAGTTCATATTTGTACTGAGGTTGATCATGGTGAGATGAAAGCGTTGTAAATTAATAAATCTGAAACAAACTTAATTACTCGATTAATAATTGGAAAAACAGAACAAAACAATCACTTCTGAAAAAATACATGGCACACATTAACAAGAATTTCAATAACAGTCAAAAATATTTTCTCAAAAACTTGCAGTTGAAATAATTAAACTTCACTGCAACTTATTTGCATTTATTTTTTGTAACAAAAATTAATAATTTACAACAAAAAAAAAGAAAATTGTAACTTTATGAGATCCACGAAGAGTCGAATTACACAAACAAAACGATTATTTTCCAAGATTTTCCTTGCAAAATAAACGAATACCGAGAACGAATATATTTTAATGCAAATCAAAATTCGAAGATTAATGATATAAAACATTAAATGCAAAAAAGTTAAAATGTAAGATTGAGAAAATCTTATAAAGAATGGTTTAGATAATTAAAACAGTTAAAAAGAAATAAAGAGAAGATAAATAAGAGGAAAAAAGGACAGAAAACAGACATAAACATATTACAGCAGTATTTCCATTAACAAATATTTCAGTGAAAAAGGGTGCTGAAAAAGAAAATACAATGGTGGCCAAAATAGCCAGAAAAACAAATATTTCCACTCCATATGAACTCGGGAAAAAACCGTGAGTGGAATAATTATATTGTAATTTCGCAACACTAACTTACTAAATTGTCCGATAATGGACAATTTTCAAAATCAACC